AGCAACAACTTCTATTCAACACCGTTCACTTCTAAAAGTGCTCATTTAAAAAAAAAATTAAACAAAAATAAGTCACTTGGAGGGGGGGGACTCTCATCAATTTCTCCTGCCTACACACAATTCCAAGAGAGCATTTTACTCACAGTATCTTGGTCAAACCATCTGATGCTGAGAGTCCAGACACACATCATTCCTCCCAGCATTCTGGTGCCCTGATCAGCTCTGCAGGCAAGAAGCCAGACAGCACGGCAGCACCACCTTTCCCTAGAAGCCTTTCCATCAAAACAGACATTGCTTCCGACTCTTAGCACCAGCTGCAGTGTTACTCGGGCTGCTCAGATCATATTTTACTGTCTATGTGAAGGTGCTGCATTTGATCTAATAACTTTCCATATTTCTGCCTTTGAGAGAAAGAACGTTATCCTAGGATGTTCTGCTTTTCTGGTGCTGAAAGGGAATAACCAAAAGCAAAAGGAAGACCAGTATTCACCGAAGAATTTAAACGGTGTACTGGCTGCCCTTCACCTTTTCTTTCAAAACAGAAGATGACAAATGAAATTTCAAGGACATAAATACATGTTGATAAGTACTTGTTGCATGAGATTGTATATCTCTAATTTCCTGCTAAATGTACCTAAGTTAAAAAAAAAAAAAGAGTCTGAGAAAATTCTAGATTAGTAGAAAAGATTTTGTTTTTAATAAGGACAATTTATTTGTGGGTTTTTACCGCTATACTTAGTACTTCTCTGATCTCTAGTAATGAAACCTCGCCTAAGCTGTTATGGAGTATCTAGTAATACAGATGTTTTGCAGTGTGGTTGTTCATTTACCTTTTTTGGAAGAGCAATTATGTAAGAACAAGAACAACCACCACCAAAATGGCAAGCTGGATATTTTACCTTTCTAGTCTTCTGAAAAGGTCTCTACTTTCTAGTCATCTGACATACAGATTTATAATGAATCTGCTATAATAATACATAATAATCTACTAGGCAATGCTAAGTACAGGGGTTCTCAAAGAGTAGTTTCTGGACCAACAGCATCAGCAACACCTGGGAACTCCTGAGAAATGCAAATGAATGGGGCCCACTCAGATACACTGAATCAGACTCTGGGTGGGGCCAGTAGTATGTGTTTTAATAAGCCATCCAGGTGAATTCTGTTGCATCTGAAGTTTGAGAATCACTGGCAACCACACAAGTGGGACGTAGTAAATGGTAATTTAGAAGGACGGGAGGGGGAAGAATGAGCCAGCACATGCTAGCACACAGGAGAGAGAGAGCAACCCCTGATACCATATCCTAAGAATAGAGAAAATGCTAATTTAATAAATAAAGCAAAGCAAATATAATAAACAGAAGGCTTTAATGTAAAATTGCTTATTGATTATTAGGTGCCATGGCTAACCATTATTTTCCATTATTTTATTTAGAGTTTCCTCACTCTTACAAAAGGAAAACTTTTTTTTTTTTTTTTTTTTTTTGAGAGCGTCATTCAGAAGTCTCTGAAGAAGATGCCGTGAGATGACACCACTGGCCCATTTCCTCTCTACTACTTTAGCTAGGTAACCTTCACAGAGTACTTAACCTTACTGTTCCTCTGTTTCCTTGTCTGTGAAATGGGGATAATAACCACAATGCCTTCTTATCAGGTTATGAGGATTCGGTAAGGTAGCATATATAAGGTACTTAAAAGAGAGCCATAGAAAGTAAGCACCCCATTCTCATTAGCAAATATCTCAATTATGAGAATGATTTTCATAGCCCTTAGGCCAGAAAATCAGCCTGGGTTCTGAGCTCTAAAGGGCCCCACTCTGACTCCCTCCACCCATGCCCCTTTCCATTAAGCAGTGGCTCCACAGGACACAAGGGGATGTGTCCGCCCCGAACTTGTCCTATCCCACTCTTCTTTTAAACCACTGGCCATGGCAGTGTTTATGGTGGAGGTTAAAGGGAAAAAAAAAAAAAAAAAGGAAACAGCAGCTTTATGGTAGAGCTATGTTAAAAAATGTCAGTATTCGGGGTGCCTGGGTGGCTCAGTGGGTTAAAGCCTCTGCCTTCGGCTCAGGTCATGATCCCAGGGTCCTGGGATCGAGCCCCGCATAGGGCTCTCTGCTCAGCAGGGAGCTTACTTCCCTTCCTCTCTCTCTGCCTGCCTCTGCCTACTTGTGATCTCTGTCAAATAAATAAATAAAATCTTTAAAAAAAAAAAAATGCCAGCATTCTCAGACTGCAGCCTGCAGGGACTTTTAACTGGACCCCAGAATGACTGCACGGATGGGATATGCAGAGAACTCGCCTAGGGACTACCTGGGATCCTCAAAGTTCAGAGCAGTAAATCTTAATGCCACTAAACTCCACCCATGCCTACCACCTTTCATAATTTTCAGCATTTTGCATCAACCATCCCTACGTCCTCCTTCCCATACTGCTCTAAAACAAGGATTATGCTGCTGCCTTTCTATTCAAAGCCTCTTCACTCTGTTCTCTAGAGACTTATTCGACTATTTTTAAAAGTCCCTACATTCTCAACCTCCTCAGAGAACAGTCCCTCATCTGCTTAGTGCTAAGTAGAATCTGGCTCCATCTACAGGACAATATGCGCACTGCAGCCCTCTCAGCAATAGGAAGAAACCGAATTTTCCTAAACCCTACTTCAACTTCTAGAACTCAGCACCTTCACTTTCATGTAAGCAACCTTTTCCCCTGGAGGGAAGAGATCCTAAAATCTAACACTTCTACCTTCACATCCAGCCACTTCCTACCCTCCTCCCTCCCCCATTCCTAATACGTGAGCCCTTATACCAGTGCTGTTCAAAACAGTGTCTATAGACCACCAACTTTCTGCAACTGGTCCACAAGGAAATGCCTAGGAAACCTGAAAGTAAACATTTAGAACTTTACAGCAATTTGACATCAGACTTCTCTTTGAACAAGGTGTTATCAAACTCACATGGTGAGGCACAAGTGTGCTAGCGATATCCTCTAAAGGTCCTACTTTTTTCCACCAAAGTATTAACCAAACTGTAACGCGCATACAAATCACTTGAGGAGTACCGTTAAAAAGTAAGTCTGGTAGTAGGGGGTGGGCCAGAGATTCCACATTTATTTAATTTTTATTTATTTATTTATTTACTTATTTATTTGAGAGAGCTCAAGCGAGTTGGAGGGAGGGGGAGAGGAATGGGGAGAATCCTAAGCAGGGTCCACTCTCAGCATGGAGCTCCACGCCCCGCTCTATCTCAAACCCTGAGATCATGACCTGAGCCAAAATCAAGTGTCAGACACCTAACCTTAACTGAGCCATTCAGGCGTCCCGAGATTCCACATCTCTAATGAGTTCCAAGTGATACTAATGAGCAGATCTACAGACCTACTTTAAATAATGAGGTTTTTAGACAACTTAATTACGAGATTTTCTCCAATCAGCTATGCTGTTTGCTATGCCTGTATTTTGCAAATGCCTCTCAAGTATTGCAAACCGAACCTCTGCATTCACTACTGCCTCTGTTTAGAGTCACCACTACTAAGAGACTGTGCAAATTTGGGAAAATTAGGTAAACTCCCTATGCTGCAATTTCCTCATTTTTTTTAAAGATTTTATTTATTTATTTGAGAGTGAGAGGGAGAACAGAGAGAGAGTGAGAGCTCATGTACAGAGAGTGAGAGGGAGAAGGAGACTCCCCGATGAGCAGAGTCTGAGGCAAGGCTCCAATCCCAGGACTAAGATCATGACCTGAGTCGAAGACAGACACTTAAGGATTGAGCCACCCAGGTGCCCCCAATTTCCTCATCTTTAAACAAGGAATAATTCTGGGTACCTCTTTGGACTATGGTGGGACTCAAATGGGTTAATTTATGTGATACTGATAATAATACTTGGCTTATGTTAGCCATTATAATTTTTTCTTTTTAATTTTTATTCCTGTCTTACCCACTTAGGGAACTCTTGTTCACCCTTAAAGTCTGTTCGTGTCACTTCTATGAAGCTCTTTTGACATCCTCCCACCCCAAGTAGAGTAAACCACTGACCTGTTTACTGCACTTATAATTTAACTCTACTAAGCTATTCCTGACCAAATATAATTTAAATATTTACATATTTCTCACATCCCAGTAGGCATGTCTTGAGAGCAGGAATTTTCTTCATCCATTTCTGTATCCCTAATGCCTACTATTATGCTGACTGGAAACAGAATATTTTATGTGAATTATTATGAATGAATCCTTTAAAGCTTTCTAGGCTTCAGCAGAAACAAGTGTTATAAAATGTTATCATCAAAACCATGAAATGTCATTATATTTTATTAGGAAGATTTTCTCAAGAAATAAAATCAATCATGAGAAATCATTTTAAACCACTTATATAAGACTTAAGCTTTAGGACTCTGTGACAATCCCAGTCATTTATTCCGTGGTGAGAGCAAGGAGAAGAAAGGAAACATAGGAGTAGTTTTTAACAAAAAGTCTTTCAGGTTACAGTATTTGTCTTTTATTCAGTGAGCAACACTTAAATGTATAAGTTTTTAAATTAAATTCTCTAGACATCTTTCCCATCCTATCAATATACTGATACATGATTTGACTAAAATGTAGTTACTCTAGCACAGACAAAAGGAAATGCATCTGGCAAATAACCCAATTTGGTCCTTTATTTCTCTAATGCACCTTAGCCTCACTGCAGTTTTTGACTGAAGTGCAACTTCTGAATAACACTTCGAGGTAAGCATAAAATGCCGTCTCCCTCCTCCATGCTCCTGAAACATACTACAAGCTCTAGGACCTCTAGTTTTTACAGGGAAGTGGGGAGAAGTTAAAGAAATAAGATTCTCAAGCATGAAGCCACATAAGAGTACTTTTCCAAGAACTACTTGAATTAGGTCCTATTGCTTCAGTCCCCTAACCCAGCAGAGGAAAATGATACAGGTGCATTCATTTAGGGAGGACAGAGCAATTCTGTGCCTAAAGCCCTCCCAGCCCCAAGCATTCCTCTCTCCTTACCTCTGGTTTTCAGGGGAGGCAGGGTGGGGTGAAGGTCTTTATTGCATTCATTCCGTTCTGTGCAGCACTCAATTGACCTTCTCTGATGAGGAATGGGGGTGTCCTAAAGTTGAACCCAAACAGCGATTAGTGGAGCCCCCTATATTTCAAAGTTACATAATCGAAAGCTTTTTAAAGAACACTATTTAGAGAGCTCACTTAAAATTCTGATGATTTTTCTCAAACATCCTGAATATTTTGTTTTCTATTAGGAAATTGCTCTTAAATTTCCCATGTATTATCTTACTGCAGCTTTGCATTTCAACAAAACTACTATTGCATTTAAAGAGCCAGGGCACATAGTTATAAACTGAGGAAGAAGGCTTGGATTAATGCAATTAACTAAACTGGAATCTGAGCAAGACAATCAAATGAATCACTAACGCAAGAAGTTAACCATGTTTGATTTTGAAATGAAGGCAGAATTGGCCCAATGAAAGAATTTTCAAATTACTTTCCAACTTACTAAATACAGGCTAGTCAAGAAAAGCAATTGTTTTATCTAATGTGAAACCTGACTGAAAGCTGACAATGAAAGGTTACAAAGTAGAATCAACTTATCTTCCTTACCCGACACTGAAAATCTGAGCCTTCTAGTCCTAGACATCCAGAAGTGACCACAGGCATCCCAGAATCATCTTCTTCTATCATTGTGAAACAATATCCATCTGTGCTAAAGACCAAACAGGCAAAGTAAGTGTGTGTGTGTGTGTGTGTGTGTGTGTGTGTCTGGGGGGAAAGAAACATGTTTGTCATTTGTTCTATTACGTATAAGGACAAAGTCGATCATCATTACAGGTTACAATCTGTTAGGAGAATTCCAAAACTTCCTTTTGTGAAATTTGATTTAATAACCATAAAACATTTGGTAATATCTTCTCTGTCTAGAAACTTGTGAGAAAGAAGGAGCCAACTTTCCATGTAATATATGCCATTAATAACTATATGTGCCAATTACTGAACACCTGCTTTGGTCCTCCGTAGACATCCCCTCCACACATCCAGGAAAATGACTCCATGAGGAAGGCAGTATTATGCTCATCTTTGAATGAGGCTCAGAGAGCTTGAGCAATTTCTCAAGAACCTTACAGCAAATGAGAGGCCCAGTAGGGGTTTGCCTCCATGCAGGTGAACATTTATGCTGGTTCTATTTGCTCCAAATGAAATAAACTTCTCGCTAAGGCACCAGAAAAAGACAGGTAAGAGTTGGGATCAGCACAGCATAACCCAGCTAAGATTCTACCATTTGATCCCTCTGCTTTGGGGCTGATCTGTCATATGGAAGAAACATCAAGCTCTGTTGTGAACAGGCAGAGCTTATACTGGGGGGTGGGGTGAGGATGAACAACAGAAAGAAGGGGTTTTAACAGGACCACGGAAAGCAAAGAAAATTCTAAATTTATGTAGGGCTTTCTAGATTTAAAAAAATTACTTATTCTACCTCATTTAGTCCTCCCAACAATAATGGAAAGAAAGTAGTATTATTTCTAGTTTAAAGATGAGGAAATTAAAGGCAGGGAGTCTAATAAACGTGTACAGGGCCACAGAAAAAATGGTAACAGAATCAGGCCTTGAGTCAAGGACCTCTTGCTTCATCCATCCCCCCATCTTGCGCTATCCTCTCCTGGGGCCAAATCTGGAAAACAATAACTCTGACATACAGACCTATTGATAAACCGACTTCACTGTCTTCGTAAGTTAGGGTGATGAATGCCAGCAGACTCCTAATGTTAGTCACCCACCACTACTGCATGTGCTGAGAATTAAAATACTAAATTATATCTCCATCTTTTTCTCATACATATGCTTGCTCAGTGTCCAAGACAGACAACGGCAGCATCGTCCTGAAAGGTCAAGGGAAGAAAGTGCTGAGCAGGGCATTAGCTGTGATTTGTGGGCTTGTCTATTCGGTATCCATGGCAGCAGCGTTCTGCCATACATTAGCCCTCCAGTTATCATCAACACCCTTAGAATTGTTTACTCAGTTTATAACCCTCAAGTGATCCAAAATACCTCAGTTTTTAAGAACTAGACTGGCAAAGTTCAAATACACTAATGAATGGCTAGGAGGGACCACTGATAAATCTCTTCATTAGACTGAGGTCAAATGCATGAATACTGTCATGGAAGAAAGACTGCCTCTGAACAGCCCTTGCTCTGAATTCTTAGGGGGCTTTTTAGTCAATTTATTGAAATTGCTAAGAAAATCTGAAGCATGTAAACACTGAAGACAATAAATAAAAGAGCTGTCCCTTAGAAATTCAAACAATATGAGCAGATATTTTTTTTTCTAATTTTTTTTTATTCCTTATATCCCTCATGACCTGAGCTGAAGGCAGAGGCTTAACACACTGAGCCACCCAGGCGCCTCTTAATTTTCTGACATTAGGAATTCACAGAGCTAGAAAAAGTGATACAATATGTTAAATCTAAAAAGATTAATTTCTCCCTATTTATGAGTTCCCCTTCCTCAAAATCTGAATATATGGAAACACACTCATAAGGATTTTAAAAAAAAGAAAATTAAAAATAAAAAACTGGTTAAGCTGTGGTCAAGTCACTCCAAAAATGTCCTGGGAAATTAAAAAAATTAGGGAGAGTAAATTCAAGTCTTAAAAATACACTCCTTTGGGGGTGCCTGGGTGGCTCAGTGGATTAAAGCCTTTGCCTTTGGCTCAGATCATGATCCCAGGGTCCTGGGATCGAGACCCGCATCAGGCTCTCTGCTCAGCAGGGAGCCTGCTTTCTCTCTCTCTCTCTCTGCCTGCCTCTCTGCCTACTTGTGATCTCTGTGTCAAATAAATAAATAAAATCTTAAAAAAAAAAATACACTCCCTTGTCTGCAAAGGGGCTGGGGCTAAAAATACAAAGAGTGTGGAGGAGGAGAAAAGTCCTGGAGAAAAGTCAGTGTCCCATAAGTCAACAACTGGGACAGAAACCAAATATGTAGTTGGAGAAGCAGAAAGGTTAGAGAACAATTTCAAGTGCATATTTTCGGCAACAAAGCAAAAATAGTATTTTTTAAGATTTTATTTGTTCATGATAGAGACAGAGAGAGCAATCATGAAAGAGGGCAGGGTGGGGGCAGGCAGAAGGAGAGGGAGAAGCAGGCTCTCTGCTAAGCAGGGAGTCCAATGCAGGGCTCCATCCCAGGACTGGGATCAAGACCTGAACCAAAGGCAGACACTTAACTGACTGAGCCACCCAGGCACAAAACAAAGCAAAGCAAAATTCATTTATAAGCTTCTCACTGAAACTACTAGCTAGCAAGAGACACTAACTCGAAAGGAGAAGTACAATTACAGAAGCTTAAGAATCACTTGAGAACTTGAAATTCTTGAGCAAACACAAACGTAAAACCAAGTTGTGTCCCTGAGTCCAAGCTGTTCAACTACCTCCATTAAGAGATGCCTGCTGACTGTCACAAAAGGCAATTAAGCCCTGGCACCAGCTTATTTGAATATTCTGCTCCTGGCTTCCACGTTAAATCTTAGTTTTTAAATGCTTTATATTGATTATTATTACCTCATCATTCCCACTGTGTTGAAAGTAACAAGAAGAAATGAAGCCTCATGAAGAAAACACAAGTAGAAATCATTTTAAGCAAAACTGAGAGTAGTGAGATGTATACAAAGGCATGCCATTTGGTTACAGTAGTGAAAATGAATTTAAAAAAAAAGAAATTAATGTAACATTTCAAAAATGCTGCCCCTGTATTAACAGGTAAAGACAAGTAATGAACAAAATAGAATAGTTGCCTACCAAGGAGATCAGACATCATCACTGACTGCCTCTCAGCATCATGTTAATTTATGAAAAAGCAAAGCATTTCAGAATTTATAGGTCAGGTGAGGTCAAAGCACTGATGATGTACTTTTGTTAAAACCGTCAGAGGGTGCCTTGAATCTGCCCAATATTCCAAAAGCAAAGATGTGCCTCAAACATCTAGAGAGATCATTAGGGAGTTAGCTCTCTCCAGACATTTTCAGTAAGAAGCAAGTAAGCAAGTAAGAAACAGGTACACGGGGCTCAAAGTCTGGGATGGATATGCAACCAGAACCTGCACTCTTCTCATTTGTAGTCAAACTGGGTTTATAAACTGCCTCTTGGACTCCAATTCATCCATGATTCTTGAAGGATAATCAGAAGCTAATTCCATAAATGTCTAAAGTTGCACCACCAGAATCTTTACCTAAGCTGCTCTCTTGATTGTTTTGTTTCAGGGAATCAAGTGTTTATAAGGTTTACTCACAACGTGGTCCCTTTCCCTCTATTCTTCCACTAAGACGTTATGATTCCCTGTTGCAGATGCTAGGGTTGTTCACACACACGACCACACAGTTTAGAAGGGACTACAGTAGAACTTTTTTCTAACTAGTTTAGATCTTCATAAAGATGAATTTCACTATAAAATAATTTTTAAGTATTAGTTAAGAGGAGTTTAACTGTTCTGCTCAATCAGGGTGACAGGAAGTCTTAAAGCATCATTAAAATATTTTTTATTATCAAATAAATTACTTACTGAGTAGTTTAAAATTTTGCTCTTGACAGAAATAAATTATATATATGGATACTTGCTGAAGTGGATCTCTCTGCCCACAAGGAGTATAGATCTCTTGACTGATCAATATTTATTCCAATTTTATTTCAGAATGCAAGAAATATTAGAATTCCTAAATTTCTTTTAAATTCCTTTTAGTTTCAGCCACAATTGATTGGAAAGACTGTTTGATTTTAAGTAGATTTTAAAATCAGTCCTTGAGAACATTCTGTCTTCTAAAATACCTATTTCACCTTCAAGAGAAATAAAGTTTTTTAAATTTTCTGTCACAGATAATCTCAAAGGTTCATACAAAGTTTAGAGCAGTTAATAAATCATGTAAATTTTAGTCAACTAAAATAGTGAAAGCTGCTTAGATTTTTACTAACAGTAGTTCATTTGACAAATATTTATTCAGCACATGACAATTAAGGCAGACTTAGATGCTCAGACACAAGCTAAGGAAGATGTAGTCTTTGCTTTGAGGGAGCTCATAGTCTATGAATGCTATGATCCTAGGAGAAACCAAGTCATCCCACCTCTAGCAATAAGGATAGAAATCATAAGCTAGTCAAAGTGTTTTCTACAGACTTGGGAAAAAAGCAAAGAATGTTGAACATTGGTAATTATCAAAGTAATAGAATCCCAAAATTTGTTTTTTTCCTTATCATCTTAGGTGGGCGGATTCCCATGGTAGTGAGGGAAAGAGGGTAAAACATATAGGACCACTACTGCTCCCCATCTCTGGTTTTCCTTGGAGACATCCTATCTCTACAGGCAGATGAAGTTAGGTTGCTAGTAAAGTTCCAACATGAGAAATGTCTTTTACTTTATCGTCAAGAATGTGTAACTACCTTACACCCTTCTCTAGCAGCCACACCAAGTGATTTGGCATTTTGTTCATTTTTTTCTATGAGGGGAAAGATCTTCTGAATTTGTCTCCATTTTTATATGAATCCAGCAATTATATCGTCTCACCTCCACTACCTTGAGCAGATGCTCTCTGTCTCTCACTTCAATTGCTCTGAAAGCCTTCCAGCAGGCCTACCTGTCCCCTCTCGCTAGACTCGGAAGGACTCTGTACAGCATACTTGCTGAGAAATCTTGCATTTTCCTTCTCTGCTTGAAAGTCTTCAATGGTTCTTAAAACGATCATCAAGCTCAATATTCAGACAGTCTGAGCAATAGTGGAATAAAACGGATGTAGTGGAAGATGTATAAACAGAGAAGAAGAGCGTGCACTTTAAATGTTCTGAGATCTTAGCTAGGGAGCACCTGTCTGAAAACTCACATCATCACATTCAGCAAGGGGTTTAAAACTCTTGGGTAATGCAAACTTTATAAAAAGGCTCCCAGCCCCTAAGCTTTCCCTTCTTCCCACTCTGACTCTTCAAGGTACAGTCGGGAGACTCATCTAATTCTTCATTTAGGCAGCCTGCTGTCACATGCGCACCCTCTGTGCAAACATCTGATGTGATTTATTATACCTGTAAACCCTGAAAACTGTCCAGGCAGAATTCTTGGTAAAACCCAGTAAGATAAATGGTAGCATATTTAAAATCATCTCTGAAAAAGAATGAAAAATAATTTTTAGAAATGGATAGACTTCTGTGACTGGGTAAACTTGAGAGAGGTGATGAGGAGTAACAAAGATGACTATCACAGGCCAAGTCCAAGTAAGACAGGGAAGGATATATAAAGCAGGAGTAGACTATATAGAGAAAAAAAAATGGACAAAGAAAACTGGAAAATAAGACAAAACACAGGCATGGTGAAAGTCATGTAAAGAGTTACTGCAGGAGACTTTGAAGCATTCAAGGGTGTGTAGTGATAGTCTCAGGTCCTAGGAATTAATCTAGAAATGGAATGGGAAGGATTCACCCCTTCCCTTTGGAAATAGAAATGGAGTAGTGGCTTCCCCCTCACTCTGAATTGTGGATATTAAAAAAGGTTCCAATACTTTCTTCAGCATATTTGTGCTACATTCTCTAACATGTACACCATGAGGCAATAGAAATGGCATGGATTTTGGAAGGAGACACACCTGCATCAGGTAGGAACCAAGGCAAAGAATGAGTCTAGACTTGGTGTTGGCAGGTAACGTGATTGCTGCTATGAAGACTATAAAACCCCTCTAAACTTTACACATTTTTTCTGAATTATCAGATGGAATTTCGGAATCTCTTTTAAGGAGGATATACTCTTGTTTCAGGCCACTTTTTAAGATTATTCTGTCTAGGAACATGGGAGTGGTAATGTGCCTGAGACCTACCTACAATAACCAGATTGGCTAAGAACTGCTTACTACAAGGCCTCAGGCCACACAGCTTGAACCAGCCCGTATCTAAGCCTCAACAAAGCATACTCTGGTCTTTAGAACTGGTTTACCTAGGAGTGCAAGACTGAATGCAATATTACTCCAAGTGTATTCCCTTGCAGGTCAGCAAATCGCTTGTTCCTGGTCTGTGAGCAGTTAATACAGAAGTGGAAACTTGCATAGCAATAAACTTAGCTCTACTAAATCTCAATAATGGAAAAATAGAAAAATTTAAACATACAATTTATAAAGATTTTTAAATTTATTTTCTAGTAATTCATTTTTATTGTACTTTAGAAAAGTATCAATGCAGCTGATTGTGGTTGGGGCGGGGGTTATATTTTACCAGAAACAGCATGAGAAGTACTGATTGTTGCAAGTCAAAAGAGTACATCATGGGCTTACAAGAATGGAGGCCTGAATTTATTCTAGGTCTCGGGGCCCAGGAACAAAAGCAGCCCCTGTGCCTCACACAACTGATCTCAGCTTACAGGAAACTCAAATGGAGTTAACATCTTGTTCTCAAAAAAGATGTGCCTTTTACCCAAGAATGAATATTCACTCCTTTGAGATCAAGTTCAGGGGTTGGGTGATGGTCAGGAATTCAGGACTTTGGAATACGTATTTCTAAACTGCAGTTATCAAGGCCAATAAATATGACTGCCAGATTTTGGTTCTTATCCGACTTGACCTCTAACAGCATCCAACACAGCTGACCTTACTGCCTCCCTCTGTAAACCTGGCTTCAACGATTACCATACTCACTGCTTTTTGTTCATTCTGAATCTTCTGAGAAGAGCCTCCTTGACCCAAGCATTAAATGTCTCAAGGTTCAGTCCTACTCTGGTCTACCAGATTGTTCTATTACTGTACTCAATTTTTCATGCCCCGCCCAAGCCATGGCTTCTCTCCAAAGTTGAGCTTGACTGTATCACTTGATTTGGTTAAGTGGAATGCTAGAGGACATGTTACAAGAACAAGAGGTTGCTCCTTTCCAGGCAAGTTAAAAAGCACATGCCCTGGTTAGCTTCTTGTCCAAGAAGGATGAACAAACATGTGGAACAGGCCTGAATTCAAGCAAGCCCACCCAATCCAGCAGGGCCCAGCACAGCTGGAGCCCATTTGTAGACCCAGGAATGAAAAAAATAAACATCTTTAGTTGTGAGTCGATGTGATTTTGAGGTTGTTTCACAGCAAAAACTCATGTTCTACTCACTCTAGACTCTACCCCCAAACTCTTATCCCAGCTCCAGATCCATTTCCCATGGCCAACTCTTTGGTGTCTCCATTTGCAGGTGTCAAAAACCTTAAACTCAGCATGTCCAAATTGGAACTTAATTATTCCCCTCTGTCCTCTTTCATTAAAAGCGTACACTGTACAACTCAATGTACATCCAACAACCTGTGAAGCCCCTTTGGGCCCCTCGCACAAGTAGTTCATCAACGTAAAACTTTCCTTCTACATAGCTCCCCAACACATGCGCATCCCTCTTGCGTCGGCACCACCTGAGTCCAAGATCATGTTCTCTCACATCAACTGTCCTTCTGAAATCCTCATCAATACTACTGTTACTCCTGCTGAAACCAATGCCCCTCCATGGCCTCCCAGTGCTTCCAGGTATAAAATGAACATTCTTAATAGAGCCGACCAGGCCATGGGTCATCTTTCTCGGCTCCAGACTCCACTACAGCCACACCTCCTCCTGCTCCCTGCATGTTAGGAAAACCAGTCTTCTTTGAACATACCAACCTTCTCCTTCCCACACACAGCATCTGCGCTGCAGTGAGCCCTGTCCAATCACTTTCTTCCAAATCAATGCAGGACAGACACTCCAGTGGCCAACAGAGACAAGAGGACAAAATATTTAAAGTTGGGATAATTTCAGAAGGTCTACACATATGATCACCAGAACTACAGCTTAAATGATGCACCTTGATTTATTCTTAATTACTACACACTCAGGAAAATCAGTAAAATATCTCCCTAGCATGTTTCCTCCTGACAATATTTTCTTCAGAATACTTTGACATTTTCCTAATATTTTTGCCATGTACTACAAATAGGTAGCGTTTCCCAGGAAATACGTCTGACCTCTGGAATCATTTTTCCACAGCACGAGACTCAGCGATCCCAACTTTTTTCTATCATATAAGAGTTGAGTTACTAGACTTCTCTGGGCCCTGAATTCCTTACAGCTAATTTTAAGAAATAAGCATGCCCTACCATGCTGAGTTGTTTTGCTGATTAAAGGAGATATGTATTTATGAATACACCCAACATTCTTCCATGTCATTCAGTTAATACATATTTCTTGAGCTATATATATCTCATGATATATGCTTTCTTTCTCAGGAAGAAAAAAAAGCATTCAGCTCAGCTTCATGCTCCTTCCTGGGTAAAGAGGCTCCAAATGATTGCTCAGATACTCTGCCTGGACTTCAAACCCAGCAGCCCATCTTCCCATTTGGGTCTATTACCCTTCTTGACGGAGATTCTTCTTTCCTGCCATTTTAACTCTTGAGATCTGCACTTGTCTGGTTTATTCTGCCATGTCTCCCTGGGCACACTGGCCTCATTGCACTATACCTCTTTACCCACTGCTGTCCCCATGGGGGGTGTAAAGGCAGGCGACAGTGTCCACCAGAATGGATGTAGCTGCATTAAGATGTGTATGAAAGAAAGCAGTAAATAGTCCAGTTTCAAATAAAGTCTTGATACAAATCTGATTATCCACTGAGGAATTTATTGCCTATTACTCTGACAATGCCTTTCCTAACCTCCGGTAGGCTCATCATGTGGGCTCTCTCACTATACCGCTTCCCAGAGCCAGTGAATATTCGTAACGACTCACGTGTTCTTTCCAAAAGATTAACCACCATTGATATGATGAATGGTTAAAACAAATAAAAATCCTCACACATCTGACACCACCTGCTACTGAATTTATTTTGAGGACAAGTTTTTTTGAAAGAAAACAATTGGTTTTTGCTCCTTGACATTTGTCCCAAGCCTGGGACTTGTGTTCTATGTTTATATACATGTGTGGTATTTGCAGCAAGGAAGGAGACTCTCAGAACACCATTTCAGGCCCAAATGCAATCTAATACTTTTCCAAACACAGGCACAGCTCTGAGAGGCAATGGAGTCAGGCACTATTCCCCAAAATGTGTTTTTAGAAAATATCAGCCTACAGTTCCATAGTCAAAAAAGCATGAATCTTTGTTAAAATGAGATTTAAGTAATTCATATGACCAACCTGCAAATATTGTTGACTGAGTCTTCTGGACAATGGTGGTGGCATTTGCAACGCAAGATCTTTGGACGAGGGGTGGGAGCTGTACTCTCACCATCCTCTTTCTTGGTGCCCACATTTAATTTTCCTGAGCTTCGCAAAAGCATGTTATCAAGTAAATTTGCTGAAAAGAACAAAGAGTAAGAGTTTAAGTATCTGTGGGATAACCCAGCCAAAGTCTTCTACTTAAAGGAACAATGAGATTAAACAAAATATTAAGTATTTATGAGACTTAAAGATTTAAATATAAAGCAGTTATTTTAAAGATTTTGATGCTCAATATAACTGTTACTTATATAATTATTATAATTATGTAATATATGTCTCATATAAAGTACAGAAATTCTCATAACCCTTTGAGGATAGCATCGTATACAATAAATTTTAAGAGTTGTATTTGATTGAATACAATGAGCTCAACAAGCACTAGTATATAGATCATCTCTACTCTGTATGGTAATGGTATGGGTAAATATCATTCCCACCTGCGATGAGAAAATAAAGACTCAAAGTTTAAGTGATCTGCACACAGCTAATAAATGATGAAGCCAGCACTTAAACCCAGATTGTTTGGGCCCTAAAACTGTCTTACTACCAGTCTCTTTACTTTAGGTGTATCATCTATTTTTGAGGAAATTGTTAGAAATATTCAATATGCAAAATTGGTAGGAAGATGAAAACTTAGTTATCACTAAGATACATCAAACAATACATCTTCCCCATCAGCTTTTACCTGAAAAGTGCCTTTCTGTTATAGTAGCAATGGTTGTACATTTTGAATGGAAGACAGGATACGATAGTAGACACGATCTCTAGAGACAGATTTTCTGAGTTCATAATTAGACTTTACTATTTACCAGTTGGTTGACCTTGGTTAACTTTATAATATAATCTTATTGTGCTTCACTTATCATTAAAGCAGAGATAATTATAAGCACCTACTTCACGTCAACGGCTTCGGATGCATATGTTACATAGTAATATTTGATAGATGTTAGCTAATATTATTAGAAAGATCTAAGTTTTTTACATTTTAAATAGAAAGATTTCATTCATATAGGGTGAACTACCACTGAGGTGGTTTTTATACTTTCCCTCTCTACCACCACTTTTGGAAAGTAATGATGCTCACAAGAGGGATGTGCATTAACTGATACCTATTATGTTCCAGACATTGTGGCAGGAGTTCTCATACATGCTATGTCACTGCTTAAATTGTCAACCCAAGCAATGTTTGATTTACCCATCTCTCTCACAACACATAGAACTTGCCTACAATTAAAACAAATCTCAACAAAAATATTATCTAAAATATATTGGGTTAAAAAACAGAAATTCTAGGCCAAAGATGCAATATACTCAATAGATGCATTATGCAGTGTGCACACATTCATTTCTTAAACCGCAAATTAATGCCTCTAGCCACTGGTCACATCAGAGAATGGAGAAGTTTAAAAAATATATATATAATTTTTCCTGACTTTCTGTATGGTAAGCTACTTTTGCAAATTCCTAAGAAGTAATAATTGAAGGGGAAAACAATAAAATGTATTAAAACCTTTCACCAGAATATCCCCAATCATTAATTCTTAATTCATTAGATTGCTCAAATTTATATAAGACATGTACCTAACTCTCTCAAAGTTTCTTAAATTTTAGTCTAGCGAAGACATGTAGATTGTCATGCGCACAGGCAGAGTTTGTTAGAGGAGAATCCCGGGCCACTCACAGTGATTCTGATTCCATAGGTTTCAGGCAAGCCAAGGAAAGTGAATGTTCAAGATCCCATGAGATTCTGAGACATATCATGTGCAGACTCCACTTTGAGAAACTCTGGACTAGATTAAGCTAATATTATTTATTTAATCCAACCATATAATTCATTGCAATAGATATATGTTACCTCTACACAATAGGAGGCTCATCCTTAAATTCCAAAGTAAACATATTACATGTATCTTGTATTTAAAGCCATTTGTTACAAGTTTGCCTGCATAAACACCTCAGCACTGCTTGCCATCCAGGTGCAGAGGGCGTTGGTATACCTGTATGTCACCCTGCCATGCTGGCTTCCTTCTTTTTAAAGCTGGTTCTCAGTCTCACTAACTTTATGACCTGAATAACCTCGAAGTAACTCAAAGTGATGAAAATAAGTTATTTAAAATTTATTACATCCTGCTTCCTTCATACCAGACCCCTTCACTTTGAAGTTTTAAAACAAAATAATTAAAATTCATTTATTATGCATATGTCTCATTAGCAAATATATATCGGGTGCCTTTCCTGTTCCAGGCACAGCCTGCGTATGTAGGATAAACTGAAGATACACAGGATTTCCCATCTGGTGGGAAAAGTGGTTAAATGGAATGTTTATACTGAAAGGTCTCTGTTAGAAAAGGAAACATCTTCTTAATATCGAAAATAAGATGTCTTTTAGTAAAAATACTTTAAGAAAGGATTCATAATTTTTTTACATTTTAAATTTAATTAAAGACTGATATAAATTCTAGCTAGAAGGAAGTCCTTTGCAATATTGCTTCTAACAACCCACGTTTACAATAGTGGACAGGTCAGAGCTCTAAAAAGAGATTCCTATGTAGTCATTAAAATGTTGGCGTGGAAATACAGTTATTGGCAAGAAAAATATTAAAACATATTTTTTGTTGGAAAAGTAGATTAAAAAGTATTTTAATTATGAATCCCACTAGAATAACAGGAAAAAAGCCTTAAAAAAAGAACCTACAATATAAAAGAGATCAATAAAAACCAGGTAAGCAGAAGGAAAGCAGTTAACTGATTTAACTAAGCAAAGATGCTGTCTCCTAGTCCAAAGGTGGAGAAAAGCCAAAAAGCAAACCCATTTTACCACTTAACTCCAAAAACACCCCAGAGTGGTACCAGAAGTGGCTTTGAGAAGTATAGTTCATCTGCCCTCTCTCATCCCCAAAGACTGGTAACATCATTTCCACCCTCCCTTCCCCTGCATCCCCGCAGAAGACTGAAAGAGTAAATCTGTTATACTTATCACTGAGATGCCTTCCTTATGAATTCCTCTTTTACCATCAAGGTGAAGGGCTGTAGAAAACTAAGCACAGGGGAGGGCAAGGGGTACCATCTTACTGTAAACATTCAGTGACCATCTACACTGGCTGTCAACTCCTCCTGTCCTCTCCCTCTACATGGCTTCCAGAACTTGATACAGCCTGGCTTATCTCTTCTTTACTCGGGAATTTGACCAGGTCAAGGACAAACAAAATATCCAAAGACAGAGATATTCGAGATTTCTCAGCAAACAGCCCTGCAATATTATATGGTAAGGCCCATTGGTGACAAGATCTACCCAATGAAAGGAACTTCTAATCAGATCTTATAGTGATCCATTCTCTTATGCACAAGCCACTAATTCAGGGTCACTAGATATATGAAGAAAACCTCAAATACCAAATATTGAGAAGAAACCACATACACAAAAGAAACCTACTTGGAAAAAAACATACAATGGGGAAAAAACTTTAAAAAACTACAATTAATACTGTCATTCTCATTAAAAAAAAATACATAAACGAAACAAGAACGTTTTGCTACCAAAAGGGAGTAACAAATAAGGAACTCTAAAAATATGATTGCATAAATTAAAATCCCAATAGGTGAGTTGAGATAATCTCCCACACTGTAGGTCTAAACACAGAGATCGAAGAGTTCAGTAAATTAATAAATTAGAGCATCAATCTAGGAAATTCAAAATGTGAGTAATAATAATATCTCCAGAAAGAGAGACCTGAGAAAATAGAGGGGGAAAATCATCAAATAAATAAACTGTGTACCATTTCCATAACTGAAAATCATGGTTTTCTAGTTTGAAAGGATTCATAGAGTATATGAACAGACTGACACACCAAGGTATGTTGTAAAATATATAACATGACAGACAAAGGGAGATCTTATATAACATATATTTTATGTATATAAAAGATAAAAGAGATTAAAAGTAAGGGTAGCACTGAATTTTCTACAGCAAAACTGGAAAGTAGAATAAAATAGAGTAATGTCTTCAAAATTGTGAAAAGAAAATATTTCAAATCCAGAAATCAATACTTGAGTAAATTACAGATCAAAAATGATATGAAAAAAAACTGAAGATTTTCAAGGTGTCAAAAATTTACCTCTCATACACCTCTCTCAGGAAGCTACTGGAAGAGAGGCTCTCTCCAAATGAATGTGTAAACAAGAAGACAGAAGAAAGGAGTTTCTGCTATGGGAGATCCAACCCAAGCGCAAGGAAAAGCATACTCTCCAAGACAATGGTAAAGGTGGTTGGTAAGATGAAAACTGTGACTGGACCGAAGGAACATCAGGCCTGACTGAAGGCAGGTCCAAAAATTCTGGGAGAAGAAATCTAAGAAGTTAAAATTAATACAATAACTCAGGTGTTTTAAATTTAAACTGATCAAGAGTTAGGAAATTAATTTGTGATGGAAATATAGGAAACTAAGGAAACAAATAACATTTTAACTTCTAGACATATAGCATAGGGGATGGAAATATGTATATAGTGGGAGAAAGTGGTAAAGCTTCAAAAGTGGAAAGTCAAAGGTAATGCCTAAAATTGAATAATCAAGAGGTAGCCATACAATTATTTGCTTAGAGAAATGGAGAAAAAATACCAAAAGAACAAATGTAAAAAGAACAGGTGCATTCGTTACTAAACAGAAGAAGTTGGAAGGATACTTTAAGAAAAAATAAGCCAGCCTCTTTATATTAAAACAAAAATTATCAAGTTTTGAAATAATATATCTCATATGATGAATCCTCTGTAGTCTGTGTGTGTGTGAAAAAAATGAATGATTCATATATATGTGTATATTGATGAAATGTAGGAAGATCTTAGTTCTTGTGGAAAATTTAATTACCTCGGGGCGCCTGGGTGGCTCAGTGGGTTGAAGCCTCTGCCTTCGGCTCAGGTCATGATCCCAGGGTCCTGGGATCGAGCCCCGCATCGGGCTCTCTGCTCAGCGCAGAGCCTGTTTCCCTTCCTCTCTCTCTGCCTGCCTCTCTGTCTACTTGTGATCTCCGTCTGTCAAATAAATAAATAAAATCTTTAAAAAAAAAATTTAATTACCTCTG